TAGTAGTAGTAGTAGTAGTAGTAGTAGTAGTAGTAGTAGTAGTAGTAGTAGTATCATCAATATTATACTATAGTATTATTGTTATTATTATAATCATTATTATCATCATTTTTATGTTCTCTTAGTGTTGCCGGTGGTAATAGTTTTGGACATGTTTTCTGCTGTTGTAAAGATGGCGGTGGTGGTGGCGGTGGTACATTTTCCGGTTTTGTTGTCGATGATGTTGTTATTGCTCTTGTTACAGTTGGGGAGAGACATAGCTGCACTGTTGCTGCTTCGTTGTTCATGTCTTTGAGTTTTGTTTACAAGTTTTTGGTTGTCATAGAATCTAAATCCTACTCACGCCTATAAATCTTTTCTCATATCGCAAATTAAAGGCCAATGTTTGTGGCGTTTGGAGGGGGGGGGGGTTGGGGTTGATTTTTATGTTGTCGATTTTCGTCCCCATCTTCTTCTTACAACGGAAAAGACTTAACTGCTACAACACACGCGTGGGTGCTTGTGGTGCAATAAATGTTAAACTTGTTGCTTTGTACATAAAGGGCGTGATAAGCAGATGTAAAATTTATCAAGTTTTTTCCCATTATTTTCCTGGGACGGATCGCACATACCTCAGGTTAATTTGAATCGCAGGGTACAAACAGCCCGTTTCCTCAATGATTTACTAAATCGTGTTTGTGGCACTGGTACGACGTGTGTTCCATACAGTCATCTCCACTGTAAAAATGCAATACTCCTTTCAACGATGTAAGGCTATTTAAGAGGCGGGACCTCCGATTTTAAGTCCATATGCGTCAAGATCGAGCCAAACAATTAGAGATCTTTAAAAATTCGCCTAAATAATCCTAGCTTCGAGCGCCCCCAATGAGGATATGAACCAGGGCCTTCCACTCTGTAATCCAGTATGGTACCAACTGAGCTGACGGTGTGCCCATGTCATACACCACAGGGAAAAGAGATAGAATCTCTAGAAACTAAAATGTGGATGTACAGTAAGATGGAATAGTCTATTGGAAAAACAGAATATTAAGTGACCGAACACTTATTCTACCTGAGTTTTGGAATGAGCTTAAATTCTAAAAACAGACACAAAAAGATTGGTGTTTGTTGTGGAGCGATTAGGTGCTTCGTCGTTGCATGTAAAAGACTCGAGTTCGATTCCCGTGTGGGTGAGAATTTTTATCGAGTACATGTATCTTCGTCTTTTCTGCTGGGACATTGTATCCCCCCTCAGCGCAGATTGGCCCTGGAAGGCAGAGTCGAAAGTCAAAGCCCACCCCCTAACTGACTTATATTGTGGTGATGGAGATTTAAAAAATCAAGGCTGAAATGCTTTAAAACCGGCTCACTTTGGACAGTGCTGTTTGTAAGAGTGTGTGTGTGGGGGGGGGGAGGGGTAGTTTTAGTAAGAGTTTTACGGCACTCGCGCAACACAATTGTGTCAAATACGTTCCAAAGATTATACATGTTACTTGAGAGTAACATACGAAGATAAAAGGAGAGACCAGGACGATAAATTTTTTTATGGGAAAGAATGTGCAAACCACACCAGAGCACCCGTCAACCACCCACATGAGTGGGACGGGAAATAGGCAGAGGGAGACCAATATGCCAATGCACAAATGGTAAAAGATTGAACAGTAGAAAGAAAATTATCTGAGTGCTTGAAAAATTGCGAAGGACCAATAGATTTGTAGATCTACGAGGTGTGTCTCAGAATAAAGTTTCCCTGTCATGCTGTCCTCACATATAATTATAAATCACCTTGTATTTGGTACCAAAGGAAAGCTTATTCAAATACCTATTCAACGTAGGAACCATCAAGTTCAAAACATTTCTCCATTTGATGTTCCCAGCCGTCAAAGACAGTGGTCAGTGATCGTTTGTCCAAGGTCCCGAGTGCCTTTCTCATAGCCGCTTGAATCTGGTCCTCGTCCTCAAATCGCCGACCTCGCAGCATTTTTTTTTCACCTTGGGGAAGAGGAGGAAGTTGCATGGGGCGAGATCAGGCGAATTGGGCGGGTGCACCTTTGATTTCCACGAGTAGCCCTCAAAAAGCTCGTACACAACTCTGGACTTGTGAACATGTTGTCATGGTGCAGGATGACGCCTTCTTCAAGCAAAGCGGGTCTTTTTTTTCTGGATCGCAGGTCTCAGCTTGTCTTTGAGGACGAACCTGTAGTAACCACCATTGACAGTTACGCCAGGTGTGACTAGCCAGCTCAGTATGAAGCTACTCATGTCGAAAAAATCCCAATGTGCATCACCTTTCTCTCCCCATGTTTTCTGTGTGCGCTTCATCTTTCATGTCAGAACTCGCACCTTCAACCTCCTTGATCCATTTCTTTACTGTTTGAATTGATGGGGCATTATTTATTCCCTGTTAGTTTGTAAAGATCACCATGGGTTTCAACTGCAAACTTGCCGAGAAGAATTGAAAATTTGATTACAACTCAGACATCGTAGCATGAGAAGGCTGCGCCAATGTTTTGCTCAGCCATTTTCCTTGGATTTGCCTTGGACAAAGTGCAGAAGTACACCACACTTGACACGTCACCGCTCTATGATCCGTTCACCAATGCACTTGCAATTTGGAGTTGAGATTTCTTAGTCATTGTGTCATGACCTCACAAACTTTAGTGGCTGTTGGTTGCGTATTTTGAGTTTTATTGAGGAGGGAAACTTTATTCTGAGACAGACCTCGTAGCACATGATAACATTTTAGATCCTATTTTAGAAAGCAGGCTTCTGCCACTAAGAGTCTTGCATTTGCGTACAGCCCACCGACTAGTATTTCCAAGCAGGGCATTGAATAATACCTGTCACTATCATGGTGAATCCAATCGCCCATCAAAATTATCAAATCGCCCGTTTGTGGGAGATATCGGTTACGTTAGCAAGCACTGGTTCAGATAGTCAGTGCACGTGTGGCCCAGCACTAGGACGACACCTTGTAGCAACACCAAGCAACGGTCATTACTTGTGCTGTAGGTGTGTTGCACCCTCATCGGCACAGGGTACGTCCTTTAAGAGGCGAGCTGCTTCAACTATGCCTATCACGGTAAACCCAGGTTGAGGGGAGTATCATGCCCCAACAGACAGACGCGTATTTTGCTAGAAAACCTCTGCATAGGGGACTCAAACTCACGTCTGTTGCGTGTGACGGCGGGGCACCCCACCGCTACACCAGCACAGACGCCGGCACAACCCTCTCCTAGAAACAACAACAAAAAGTTCGAGAGTGATGGATAGACTAAAGAAGAAAATGTTCAGTGAAAAAATAATATATTAAAAATCAACAAGTGAAAGGTTTTTTTTTTTATTTTAACAGCAGACCTAAACGCTTTTCGTTTTCATCAAATTATAGATTGGGTTCAAGGTTGGCTAAGGTGGTATCATGCTGGACTACTGAACGAATTGAGTTGGTCTGGATCCCTAACGGGGTGCTCGACATTGAGATTGTAATGAAGAGCTCCAGGGGCTCTCCGCCAGTCTGGCTTTGCTATTTCGGAGATGAACGTTAAATTTGGAGGTCCCACCTCTTAAATAACCTTACAGAGCTGAAAGGAGCGGTAAGCCTATACAATGACAACACAGAGATATTGCAATGACAGAACATAGGGGTAGGAAACAGGGAGGTGCGAGGGGGAGTAAGATCAAACAGAAGAGCGGAAAGAAAGTGGAAAAGGGGGGAAAAGGAGGATAGGATAAAAGGTGAAGAAGAAGAGGAGGGGGGATGAAGAGATAAATTAGACGGTCGAAAAGCAAGGAGAAAAGAACAAAAAAAAGAGGAGCAAGATACAACAGAGAAGGATAAAGGGCAAGGGGAAAGGAGAGAAAAATAGGAGGAGGGGGAGGAAGAGTGATTAAGATAAAAACAGAAAAGGATGAAGAGCAAATGGGGACTGATGAGAAAGATGAAATGGCAAAGCTGATAAAAGAACGAAAAGGGAACAAAAATTAATTAGTAATTTTACAAATCAAACCTACCTTCATGGGAAGAGTTGATGACGAGGAGGAAAGCCCTTGGCTGGCAGGGGGCGGGTGCGAGGTGTGGCTTAGGGCGTGGCTTATGGAAGAAGGAGGCGGCATTATATGATGAGGGGCGGCGTTCTGGGGAGGGTGGGAGGCGAAGTGGTGAGAAATGTGGGTGTCCTGCAAGATAGAGGCGGGGATCACTGCGGTCATCATGTCGAGCATTTGGAGTGGGGAGGTCACTAAGGTCAAGTTGGCACGGTTATGATCCTCAATGACTTTGATTGGTAGACGAACGTTTCAAAGATGGAGGCGGTGCTACGATCCTCGATGACTTTGACAGATGAACGTAGAACGTACAAAATCGCCGTCAAGGGTTGTAAATACTTGCAATTTTTTGTTTGACGTCAAACTCGTAATGCTGATAAAAAATAATTGATAGATTGACCTTTGGCGCATCAACCTTTTTGACAAATTAAGGGGCGGAGTCAGTGACACACAAGAAGGCGGGGCTATCTCCACCTACAACTTCAATGAGCACACACTCGTTTGTACGAGGACAAAAGTCAGTGACAGATTCCTGACGAAGTGGACGATTAATCCGTGAATTTCTTCACAAGTGGACAACTTTGCCTATTGCAAAGAAAAGGAAATAACGGCTGCTTCAAGGCTCGGTGGTATTCCAGCTTAAGAGAAATTATAATACACTGTCCGTCTTTTTTCAACTTGAAAGGCGTTTTGGCTGTTGCACTGGAAACAGCTAAAAATTGAAAAACTCCCCTTGTCCAACCAGGCACAAAATTCAATGTTTTAATTCAGCTCTTCTTTGCCAGGATTCCTCAATTGTAACAGCCAGAAATAGGCGCACTAAGATTTATCCAAAAATAGAATATTCACAGACACAGCAAGATTTCCAGGTAAATCTGGAGAGGAAAAAATTGTAAAATTATTAGATTGAAGTAAAGAGAAGAACATGTAACAAAAAGGATTATTTAGTACGGGACAGATTATGTCAGTCTAAGCAACAAAGACACAGAAAAAAGGGATCTATCAGTGGCACCCTATAACCACCCACAAAAGCCCATCTCAAAACGATACAGCTCTACATTATACTGCAAAATAGAGGATATTACCACACCCCCTCCCCCTCCCCGTCCCCCTCCCCCTCCCTAAAAAACAGAAGGAAAAAATAAAAAGCCAAAAAAAATCAGACAAAACAACACCACAAAAATAATTTATCTTCTACAACCCATTGTTAGATACTTCGTTTTAATGTTCTAGATGTCAGTGTCAAGAATTATGGAACGATCGACTATAAAGTGTCCAGTCAGTTACTTTGGAATGACCCGCATTAAATGTAGTTTAAGTGACATGACCCACTTACGGGAAGTTTGCGTTGTTAGTCATTCCTGCACAATCAACGTAAACGTTTTGTGCTGTAGGATAGTATCTAGTGGAAACTGGCGAGCCATGCAATTCTGTGACAACCTATGAGATACATTAGCTGTAGATGTAGATATTTTACGTCCCCATCGACACAGCGTCGATCATTTAAAAGTAGGCGATCTGTCACAGCAAAACCGGGAAGAGAGGGATACACTGTCGTAGCAAGCAGAAGGAGATTCTTGATGTGAAACCTGAGCTTTAGAAATGAGATGGTGACATTGCCAATCGGAGCATTGCTCGAGAATCAGAATCATGTCTTTTGATCAGATATGTTGCCACAACAGGCCACGGTTTTATAGCTGTTTGAAAGAACAAACCAATTAGAGATATTCCTAGAAAAACAACAACTATTCTATCAAGCAAAAAACGAAACACAAAGTGTAGTAACGACAAGAAATTATATTTTAAAAGGAAGCGTATTTTATCTTTTTTTGTGGGCGTGAGTTTAGGGCTCTCCACCAATTCGGCTCGGACCTATTAGGGGTGGACGGAAAATTCGAAAGGCTAGCTTCTAGAATAACGTTAGTGTTGAAAAGGAAGCTAAACGGAAACAATGACGTAGCCATTACTTAGATATAGGGAAACTGATTCAAGTTGAAAATCATAATTGGGCTCCTAATTGCAAAAAAATACATAAGTAAATAAATAAAAGAAATGAATAAAGAAAGAAAGAAAGAAAGAAATACATAAAGAAATACATAAAGAAATACATAAAGAAAAAAAAAAGAAAATATATGGGCACAATCAAGACCATTAAAGAAACTGTCTGCTTCGACCCCTTCTTCCTCGGCCACCCCACCCCTGACTGAGAGTGAAACGATTTGCTAGCGACTAAAAAGAAAAGAAAACGTCCCCACTCTGGAAGCGAACTCTTTTTCTTTTTGTGCAACAGTGACCACTGCACCACAGACACCATTAGCAAAACGTGTGTGCCTTCATCTCATCGTGAAATTACTTTCAACTCTTCCGAGTAATTTTTTTAATATGCTTTAGGAAATCGCGATAAAGCTTGTGATTTATCTATTATCTATTTGTGGTGGCCAAATTTTGCTATTCAAAAGGCTTTTTAATGGCTGCATCGATCGACTTGCGGTTTTCGCCTAAAAATTCTTTAGAATATTCTCCAGATCATGACGCCCTTGGTTTTTTCAGTTTTGAGACAGTTTTGCTGCAAAATGCTAAATTTCTTTATTTCGCCGATCGCTTTTGTAGACCGACGCTTCTGTCTCCGTAATTTTAGAAAATCCGCCAGGTTTGTTTATTTTAAGTCGTACTTCCGTTCGATACTATTGCGCACTGTCGCGCAATACTGAACACTATTTCAAGTGTGCGACCCGTATAGATCTAGCCTCATGTTTTCTTTTTTAACTTGGTGCTAAATCCGACTGTGATTCTTTCGTTTGATGGCCAGCATCGCTTTTTCTGAACTCCTTTGTCAAATCTTTTTTCTTGCTACTGGGACAATCAACACGCTTCTGTCTCAACCCGTTCATCGAACGGGGGCCCAGCTAGTGGTATATAATTTAGAAAAGAAACTTTTGATTTTGTCTTTCTAGAGTTAGAAACTATGGACTTCATACTTATACCCAGAAAAACGTGTCAGAAATGCCATAGCATTTACAGGAGCAGACTAAGAGAAAATACATGTCTCCCCCCCCCCCCATAAAAAAAATAGATAAATGAATAATAAATGAATAAATTGAAAAAATAAATAAATAAATAAACCCAAATCCCCAAATCTAATCTTTTAAAAGTAAATAGGAAGTCGATGGCCCAGAACATATTAAGACTAATGGAAGAGAAATGAGACAGATAAAAAAAACACACTCGCATACTCACATAATTGATTTATTTAGAAAATTAAAAAACCTTGATTTATCAGATCTGTTTCAATCAATTTGATAACTGACAATTTCAATTTGCACACCCCGTTTACCTAGCATTTGTCCTTAAATTGTGCTCGATGCACTCAAAAAGATTTAATGATCTGTCATTTACTGCTGAATGGCACTGTATACGGAGCATTTGCGGTTGTATTTGCTTGCTTAGAACACCTGAACAAGAGGCTTTTTAGAACAGACCAGGTTGTCATTGTTTACAGCGAAGATAACGTTCCCAAAGTTGAACCTTTGTGTTCCGTAATGCGTGTCTGTGTAATCGTCACTGGGAGTTGTAATAAATGATAATTATGGTCGATTCGAACGAAAAAACCCAACAACCGAACTTTGTGTAACGTTCTAGGATTGATCACGTCATTAACACATCAGGGAAAGGGGGGGGGGCTGAGAGAACGAGAGAGAGGGAGAGAGAGGGTGGTGGTGTTAAACATTTTCAATTACAATTATATTGCATACAGAGAGAGACACGAGAGAGAGACAGAGAGAGAGAGAGAGAGAGAGAGAGAGAGAGAGAGAGAGAGAGAGAGAGAGAGAGAGAGAGAACGAGAGAGAGAGGGGGGGGGGGGATGTGTCCTGTCTATATAGTTTAGCACTCCCACCAAAGAGCACGTTCCACTTGTAGAGTGAACACACTCTATTTGATTGTGTTTCCTGAACTTTGGTTTCTGTAACTTTGATAGCCTTCCACCCACTCAGCTTTCTTTGACTGAGGAGGCAGGACGAGAGGGAGGGGGTAGAAGGGAGAGTTAAATAGGAGTGCCCGGCTAAAATAACCTTATTATGTTAAAAGGGGCGTGAAACTGTTATCAGAGCTCAATGAAAACATGACAATGTCGTAGAAGTACGGAGATGTACACAAAGCTTTTTGTTGTTGGGCGGGATGGGGAGAAGGAGGAGAGAGAATGAGAGGGGAAGAGAGAGAGGGATAGAGAGAGAGAGAGAGAGGGAGAGAGAGAGAGGAAAAGAGAGAGAGAGATGAAAAGAGAGAGAGAGCGAGGGAGAGAGAGAGAGGGGGGGAGGGAGAGAGAGAAAGGGGGAGAGACGGAAGGCGAGAGAGGGGGGTGGAGAAGAGGGGTAGAAATAATGAAGGGGATAAATGGGGATAAGGGAGAAACGGAGAAAGAAAGAGAAAACAAGAGGAACAAAAGGGAGATGAGCGAGAGTTTGGGCAGATATTCTGGCAGAAAAGAAGAGGAAGTGAAACCGAAAGACGGAGAGAAAATAGAGAAATCGAGATGTATGTACATCAGTATAACACAGAGAGAGAGACAGAGAGCGAGAGAGAGAGAGAGAGAGACAGAGAGAGAGACAGAGAGAGAGACGGAGACAGAGAGACAGAGAGAGAGAGAGACAGACAGACAGACAG